GTTGCGCTACTTGTGCAGTACGTCGGGCATGGGGCTTGTGCTTGGAGGGCAGAGTCCAGTGGTCCTTACTGGGCACGCAGACGCTTCTTGGGCTGACGACCAGGCTACGCAGCGGTCGTCACAGGGTTACACCTTCAGCCTTGGTTCCGGCTCTGTTTCGTGGCGGGCTACTCGCTCGTCTTCTGTTCTCGGCTCCAGTTGTGAGGCTGAGATCTACGCAGGAGCCATGGCTGCACAGGAGCTTCGCTGGCTCACCTACCTGCTGACTGACCTCGGAGAGCCGCCTCGTTCTCCTCCAGTGCTGTACGTAGACAACAAGGCCATGCTGGCCTTGTGTCGGGAGCAGCGACTGGAGCACAGAACGAAGCACATTGCTCTCCGCTACTTTCTTGCTCGTGAGCTGCAGCAGCGTGGTCAGCTGCGTCTTGCGTACGTGGCCTCTGAGGCCAACACTGCTGATATCTTCACCAAGGCGCTTGCGCCTTGTGACCATCAGCGCTTCTGTACTCAGCTGGGCCTTGTGCCTACCTTGCCTCACTTGCTCACCTCTTGACCGTGCTTGTACTGTTACATATATATATACCTGCTCTTGCTTGTCTAGCCTTTTTATATATATGTACTCCTGCATGTGAACTGGCCTTGTGGCCTTGAACTTGTGCTCGGAATGTGTGGTGACTTTGTGATCCACCCTGAGCTTGCTTTGCTTTGCTTTACTTGACTGGTCTTGTGACCCCTTGTTCTCCCCCACTTTGCCTATGGGGGTGTGTCAGAACATTATAGCTCATGCATATTGTGTAGGCTATAGTGGGGTAGCCCATAAGGGGTACAACCCAATTAGGGTTATCACTTGTACCCAATTCATTGATAGTTCATTCATTCCTTGTTTCTTCTCAGCTGCTGCTATAGGTGTTGGTGCGTCTGCTCTCTTTGGTACTGCACCTGCTGAGGCCTTGCACACCTTCACGCTTAAATCAGGTGCTTCCCACTGCTTCTTTCGCGACAGCACCACAGTCACACAACTCGGAGCACCGGTTGCAGTCTCTCTGGCTGACCCCTCTGGGGGACCGGTTCTTGCACGTTCCTCCACTGTTCTCCCGTGTCCGGCGGTCCCGTCTGGCTCACTGTCAGGTCTTCACCTCCCCTCGTTCTCTACGAGCTTGGTGAGTAACGCCGTCCTTCAGGATGCTTGGGTTGATACCTTTACCCCTGGAGGACAGCGTGTGGCGATCTGCACGTATTCACGGAGGGACCGTCACCTGGCCACATTCACTCGTCGGCCTGGGTCGAGCCTGTACGCACTGACTACTGCGCCTCCCCAGGTAGCTGCGTCTGCGTCCATGTCAGGTCAGCTAGCAGCCCCTCGTGTCGCCTCCTGTCGCACCAGACTCTCGTCTGGCACCACCGCCTTGGTCACCCCTCCCTGCCACGCCTCCGTGGCATGCACTCCCGCCTCCTTGTCTCTGGTCTTCCCAGGTCCCTGCCTCCCCTCCCACCCTCGCCTGCCCCTCCCTGCCTTCCCTGTGTTGAGGGGCGGCAGCGCGCCACTCCTCACTCCTCCTCGTTTCCCCCGAGGACTGCTCCCCTGCAGACTCTCCACATGGACGTGTGGGGCCCAGCCCGCGTCCAGGGACAGGGCCGTACTTTCTGCTGGTTGTTGACGACTACTCGCGTTACACCACGGTCTTCCCCTTACGCAGCAAGGGGGAGGTTCCTGGTATCTTGATCCCTTGGATCCGCGCTGTCCGTCTCCAGCTCCGCGAGCGGTTCGACACGGACCAACCTGTCCTGGGTTTGCACTCTAATAGAGGTGGGGGAGTTTTCCTCCGACCTCTTGCGGGACTTTTGTCGTGGGGAGGGCATCCTCCAGTCGTTCACGCTTTCGGCCTCTCTGCAGCAGAATGGGGTTGCTAAGTGCCGCATTGGCTTAGTCATGGAGGTCGCTCGTACCTCCATGATCGATGCGGCTGCTCCCCAGTTTCTGTGGCCATTTGCGGTCCGGTACGTTGCGCATCAGCTCAACGTCTGGCCCCGTGTCTCCTTGCCAGAGACCTCGCCTACACTGCGTTGGACGGGAGAGGTTGGCGATGCGTCGATGTTCCGGGTCTGGGGCTGTCGTGCCTTCGTCCGCGATACCTCCGCGGACAAGCTCTCCTCCCATGCCATTCCCTGTGTCTTCCTTGGATTTCCCCCTGACGCGCCTGGCTGGCAGTTTTACCACCCCACCTCGCGCCGTCTCTTCCCCTACCGCACTGCCCCTCTCCCCTCCCCGCCGCTCTTCCTCGCTCCAGGTCCCCCTCCGGTAGACCCCCTCCCCCCCCAGGGTCCTGCTCCTTCAGGTGTGTCTCAGGTAGACCCACTCCCCTTGGTTGAGCCTGTCGAGGTCACTGATGACTCTGGTGCTGCTCGGGGTGCTGCGTCTCGGGGTGTTTAGCCTGCGGATGCGGAGCCTGAGCGTGCGGAGCCTGGAGGTGCTGAGCCTGCGAGTGCGGAGCTTGGGGATGCTGAGCCTGAGCGTGCGGAGCCTGGGGGTGCTGAGCGGGTTTGATGCCTGGGGGTGCTACGTCTGAGCGTGCGGAGCCTGGGGGTGCTGAGTCTAGGGGTGCTGAGCCTAGGGGTGCTGAGCCTAGGGGTCTTGCGTCTACACTACGGGAGCCTCTCTCACCACAGTAGCTTCGCGAGTTGTACACTCGGCGCACACACCTTCGGAGTGGCGCTGCTGGAGCTGGAGGCCCTGGAGCTGCTAGTCCTGGAGGTGCTGGAGGTACTGCTGGTACTGGAGGTACAGGGGGTGCTCGAGCTACTAGTACTGGAGGTCCTACTGGTGCCTCACCCTAGCAGTCTAGCCGGCGGGAGCCTCTCTCACCACAGCCGCTACGCGAGTGGTACGCTTGGCACACCCGCCTTCGGAGTCGCGCTGCTGGAGCTGGAGGCCCTGCCGCTGGAGGCGCTGGCGCTGGAGGCACTGGTGCTGCTGGTGCTGGAGGTGCTGGTGGTGCTGGCCCTGCTGGTCCCAGGGGTGCTTGTGCTGGAGGCGCTAGAGCTGCCGAAGCTGGTAGTGCTACTGGTGCTGGAGGTGCTGGAGCTGCTGGTCCCAGAGGTGCTCGTGCTGGAGGTACTGGAGCTGCTGGAGCTGGTGGTGGTGTTGTTGCTGGAGGTGCTGGAGCTGCTGGTCTCAGAGGTGCTCGTACTGGAGGCACTGGAGCTGCTGGAGCTGGTGGTGCTGCTGGTGCTGGAGGTACTGGAGCTGCTGGAGCTGGTGGTGGTGCTGCTGCTGGAGGTGGTGGAGCTGCTGGTCCCGGAGGTGCTCGTACTGAAGGTACTGGAGCTGCTGGAGCTGGTAGTGCTGCTGCTGCTGGAGGTGCTGGAGGTGCTGGTCCCGGATGTGCTCGTACTGGAGGTACTGGAGCTATTGGAGCTGGTGGTGCTGCTGGTGCTGGAGGTACTGGACATGCTAGAGCTGGTGGTGGTGTTGCTGCTGGAGGTGGTGGAGCTTCTGGTCCCGGAGGTGCTCGTACTGGAGGTACTGGAGCTGCTGAAGCTGGTGGTGCTGCAGGCGCTGGAGTTGGAGACCCCGGAGCTAGGGATGCTGGGTTGTCGGTACTGGTGCTGGAGGCGCTGTGCGGCCGCGACCGTACTTCGTTCCACTGCTTTACCAGGTTCTTGGTCTCCCGTCTTCTACTGACCTTACTCCACCTCTAAAGTGTCCACCGCTAGACCAGTCGCAGCCACAGTTACAACCAGCCTCCCAACTGCCTGCTCCTTCTCCTTACACTGAGCAGACAGACTCTCGTATAGAGCATCGTGAGCCTGCGTCTCGCCCTGCCTAGCCTGTTCGCGCTGGTCGCACTGGTAGTCGTGTTCCGCGTCCGCGTCCTCCTCCTGTCTCCGGCACTCACAGTATGACACAACGTCCTTCCTCTATTCCACTGCGAGTTCCTTTGCCGTCTCCTCCTGCGTCCTCTCTTCCTGACGGTCCAGACCCTGGGTCTGGCTTAGTTCGTGCTGCCAATCCTACTGTCACGTGTCTTCTAGCCACTATTATCACTGACCCATCGTTTGAGTCCACTGTTGCGTCTGCCCTAGTTGCTGAGCTTGTCGGCTTTGTTGCTAGCTGTCGTCTCGACTACGCCGCTAGTCTTGTTGCTGAGTCTGAGTCTGTCTGTCCTCCGTCCGTCGGGGGTGAGTGTGCTCTTGGCACTGACGTCCTTGAGGACAGGCAGGAGGATTTTGAGTGTCTTGCGACTTCTGTACCTCGTAGGGTTTCCGCTGATGGCGAAGTGGGAAACCGCCTTTTCAATGGAAATCCTCGTTCCTATGAGTCTAGCGGGATTCTTGCTACAGACTGCGCGTTTTCTGCTATAATTTTTTTGAACAGCATCAAGAATCTGATATCATACACGCCCCACCCCATGTATAACAAACGTGGGTGCTTTATACGTCAATATATGGGAGATTAGGGTGCAAAAGTTGTACAAGATTTGCGCTTCTACACAATTCTCAAGCCTCAGCTCAACGCACTCAAAGTGGCTTGCATGCATTCATAGACAGCAACAACGGTGTATAGATTCTGATACTGATACACAGAGAGACTGGAGCTACCTGTTAAAGCCCGCATTCAAAATAGTGACCCCCCCCTTCTAGTTGGGTCCACTAGAAAGCTCATGAAATTTTCCAGAAAGTTTGGTGTTTTTTTCTGAACAGGGCAAGTCCCCAAGTAGTAACAAGACCGATTTGAAGTTGTTTCCGACTTCTGATACGATCAGTCGCAACATGCACAGAATTGTCGCAAGCTTGCTACGACATTTCCACTTCTCCCACCCATCCAAATCCGCATCGAGCACAACACATCACAAATTTCACGACGGAAAGGCGACGGAAACGCAGCATACACACAATGAGTGATGCAAGTAGCAAACAGAAGAACGACAAGGTGACTCGAGAGGAGAGAGAGGGGCCGACGGGAATTAGAACGGTAAGGGAGGGGGTATAGCGAGGGCGATTTACCGTACAATGGGGGAGATCGCGGGCGACGGAAAATGGAGTAGATCGCGTAGGCGACTGCAAATAGGGGATCGCTATGAGATCGCGTGGGAGATAGCGAGCGCGACGGGGAGAGGGGGGAGAAACAGCGAGCGCGACGGGGTGAAGGGGGGAGATAACGACGGCGCGGAACGTGATGGGAGATAGCGACGGCGCGAGGCGTGCTTGCTAGCTTAACTTATGTCGCAAGACGTGATCGGAGGGAAGGCCATGAGCGCGAAGGCGATGCGAAGACAGGTGCACGTGAGCGCGATGGTGACGGGAGGGCGGAACGTGAGCGCGATGCCGATGGGAGGGGAGGACGTGAGCGATAGGAGATGAAGTGGGGAAGGAGAAAGGCGACGGGAGGGAGAGCGATAAGGCGATGGGAGGGAGAGCGGACAGGCGACGGGAGAGAGAGCGCGAAGGCGAAGGTAGGGAGGGCGGACAGGCAACGGGAGGGAGAGCGCGAAGGAGACGGGAGGGAGGGCGCCGACGGGAGGGAGAGCGCGAAGGCGAGGGGAGGGGGAGCGGACAGGCGACGGGAGAGAGAGCGCGAAGGCGAAGGAAGGGAGGGCGGACAGGCAACGGGAGGGAGAGCGCGAAGGAGACGGGAGGGAGGGCGGACAGGCAACGGGAGGGAGAGCGCGAAGGAGACGGGAGGGAGGGCGGACAGGCAACGGGAGGGAGAGCGCAAAGGAGACGGGAGGGAGGGCGCGAAGCCGACGGGAGGGAGAGCACGAAGGCGACGGGAGAGAGAGCACGAAGGCGAGGGGAGAAGGAGCGGACAGGCGACGGGAGAGAGAGCGCGAAGGCGAAGGGAGGGACGGGGGTTCATGCAACGGGAGGGAGAGCGCGAAGGAGACGGGAGGGAGGGCGTGAAGCCGACGGGAGGGAGAGCACGAAGGCGACGGGAGAGAGAGCACGAAGGCGAGGGCGGGGGGAGCGGACAGGCGACGGGAGGGGGAAGGGATATCGCAAGGGCGACGGAAGGAAAAGGGGGACATCGAAGGCAACGTGAGGGAAGGGAGATAGTGAGGGCGACGGGAAGGAAGAGGGGACATCGAAGGCGAGGGGCGGGAGAACGGGAAGGCGACGGGATCGGAGGGAAATCGCGAGGGCGAGGGGACAATAGGGGTGAACGGGAGAATAACGGACCGGGAGGGGAGACCGTGACGACGACGGGAGGGCCGTCACGCGTATGTTTGCGAGGGCGACGGAAAGGCGACGGGACGGACTAGAGAGGGAGGCGACGAACAAATTGATTGAGACGGGAAACTGGCACTGCGCTACCAGGCCATGTAAACCTACATTTCACACTCTTGCTAAGTCGACGTTTGACGCACTCGTCGGTAATTACGTGGCTATGACACGAACGCCTGTGCTTTCAGCTATACTACTTACTATGCTGTGCGGAAACTAGTGATGAATGGAGTGACAGAAATCTAGTAATGCACCCATCACCAGCTTGAAAATGAGGTTGGGCCTGCGATGGGAAACCATCGCCTGGGGTTTGTCGTGCGAATGCGGCACGCAAAAATGCGACGGCTGATATGAGAAAGAAGGTTCATTTTGGCGGGAACCATTACGTTCCATTGTGGCGAGAGCCAATAACATGAGTTCACTCTGCCCATACAAATCGTTTGAAACAGTGTTTTTGATACTGGTTTCATCCTCACTTGCAACTCCTCATTCAAGTTGGGACGGGGGTCACTATTTTGCATGCGGGTAAGATATCCAATCCATCCTCACTATCAACATTTTTGTATCCCTTGCATTATTTTGCACAATCGTAACCTTGCTGTGTCCGCACCCAGAAACGATTGTTTGGAACAATTCGTCTGGGCCCATACCAATTTCACCTCTGCTGCTCCGTCAGCAAGTCCAGTCCAAACTGCACCTCTTGAACCAGCAGCAACAGCTGCCTTCACTACGCTGGAAAGCCGTACCCTTCGCTGCTTGCCCTGCCTGGCTGGCTGTGGTCACACCTTGTCCGCCAGGTTGCCACTGGAGGCACTCCGCTCAGTCGGCCCGAGGGAAGCACCCGTTGTAACAGCAGAGGGGCCACCAGCAGCAGCGGCGCCGCTAGCAGCAGAGCCCCCGGCACCCGCAGCCCCTGCAGCTGCCGCCTCTGCTGCCTTGGCCAGTCTCTCCTCCAGCGCCCTTGCTCCCCTCTCCCTGTGCGCCACAGGAGGGGGGGAGCAGCGGACAAAGACGGAAGTAGGAGTCAGGATTGAGGCAGAGTCTCCAACAAACACCGGCAGCTCATCTGGAGCATGCACAAAGCGCCAGCCTAACATGAGACAAGGTGTATGCGCTGCAAGAGGCTTCAGCAGCCGCAAAGCCCGACATCGGTCTTCACTCAACCTTTTCTCAAAGTACGTGGTAGGAACGGAGGGTGAGGTAGAGAAGAGAACGAGCAGCGAGACAGAGGAAAGCCCACCTGCCCCTGGCCCCACCTGCCCCTGACCCCACCTGCCCTGACCCCACCTGCCCCTAGGCTCACCCGCCCCTAGGCTCACCCGCCCCTAGGCTCACCCGCCCCTAGGCTCACCCGCCCCAGGCCCACCTGCGTCGGGAGGCCTCAGCGGGGTCGGAGCCGGGCAGCGGCTTGCCGGCCGCCAGCAGCTCGTCCTCATCCACCACCGCCGCCCGATCCACCCGCCGCCCGCACAGCAGCCGCCCGAGAATGGTTGCAACAGTGCCCACCACCGGTCTGGTGAATAAGAAGAAGGCGGAAGATGGAGGAGGATTGTGGTGGGAAGGCGGAAGATGGAGGAGGATTGTGGTGGGAAGGCGGAAGATGGAGGAGGATTGTGGTGGGAAGGCGGAAGATGGAGGAGGATTGTGGTGGGAAGGCGGAAGATGGAGGAGGATTGTGGTGGGAAGGCGGAAGATGGAGGAGGATTGTGGTGGGAAGGCATATGTGAGGTGTGTGTGCCGAGCGGGTGGTATGTGGGGTTGCGAAGATCTTAACAAGTAGCAGGTGGGATAGAAAAGGTTGATATTCACACCCCCAATCGTGTTAACTCAAAACACATTTGATTGAGGAAAACAGAGCATAAACAGAATGCAGCATACCAGAAGCAGGATAGAAGAAACAAAGGGAACAGAATGGAGCCCAACACAGTCAGAGGAGAAAGGAGAACGCAACGAGCATGTGAAGTGAAATCAGCGAGGCTCACCTGAGCGCCTCTGGGAAGACGAGAGGCTCACCTGAGCGCCTCTGGGAAGACGAGAGGCTCACCTGAGCGCCTCTGGGAAGACGAGAGGCTCACCTGAGCGCCTCTGGGAAGAAGGTCTCAAAGGCGAAGTCGTCGGTGGGGTCGCCCTTGAGGCCGCTGTCGCCCTTGGGCTGGAAGAAACGCAGATAGGCCCAGCTGGTGTACGTGCCGAATAGGATGAAGGGCAGCAGCTGGCGGTAGTGGCCGATGCAGAAACACAGCACCACCGTCAGCAGCACAAAGAGCGACGGCAGCCACTGAGGGGCGAAGTGAGGGGAGGGAGGGGAAGCGAGGGTTTTGTAAAAGACAATAAAAAAGGAGGGGAATCCATTTAAGAACAATAAAAAATGTGCTGAATCCATTTAAGAACGCTTCTGTAATGCTACCTCAATTCGCTTTGCAAACTAAGTGTTTCGAACACAGCGATCATCAACATCAACGCTTGCACTCGTGCTCTTGCATTTCACGGGCACATGGACAGGCAAAACTAAGATCCAGCAGAGAGACAAATGAAGCCAGAGCTATAATGCACGTACACTGTTTTGCCCTTATACCCTTGCGACACCCAGCTATTAGTTACGACTATGAGTGTGGGCAGAGCACGAGTGTACGGAGGTCAGATCCTTGCCTCTCTGGCATACGGCACCAGCCACACCCCACGACGACTCCCATGACCCCTCACTTGCCACCTGCACTGTGCCGCCCGCACGTGCAGCATGGGTTGGGGTGCGACACACCTTGGCGCGGAACTTGAGGACGTAGGCGACGGTGATGTCCTGTTCGGGCATGAGCTGCTTCACGCCCACCAGCAGCCCCGCCACCACCCCGTGGAACCCTGATATCGGCTCGTACCTGCGCGCAGCAGTGGGGGGGGAGGTGGAGAGAGGGGTGAAGGGAGGGGAAGGCATGTGCGTGTGGAATGGCAGTGGTGTTTCGCCGCCACCAGATTATGAACACCTGGCGAGCAGTCAATGAACGAGAGGGTTGGGGATGCGATGGGAGGGAGTGCAGGCGCGTGCAAGGTGGACTTCATACGCATATCTCCATTCTCTCCTCTTGTCACTGCACTGCCCCCTCACCACTCCATCCATCCCCTGCACCCTATCGAGACCTGATCTTGCAGCTTCACTGGCGCCATGTTTGGTGTGCACTGCAGGCGTCCTGGCCTCAAAGACAGCACAATCCATCCAGCTAATCCGCACGCAACTTGAGCGCTCCCCGCTATCTGTGCGACAACAGGACCATTTCCTCACTTTTCGGACACCTTCCCTACCACAATTCCTGATAGCGACTTGATTACTTGCCGCTCCAATAGCTCATGTGCTGGTTGAGTGTTGTCCCCATGTGCAGCTGTATCGAATCGACACTCCAACACGTCACCGCCCTTGGTTGCTTCCTCCTTCCCGAGACGTGTGCGCCATACACACGGCCTACCACGGTGGTGCAATGGCTTGCTTCCGCTCGGTGCTGGAGCACAAATGGCGTCGCAGGCAGTTCCTACATGTCCAACCACCGTGTGCGATGACATGTGGTGTGTGCAGTGTTTGAGCAGTGACAGGAGCATGAGGCCATTGCAATGGGCTACGGACGTCATACACACTACAGGACGCCTTAGCTGTTATTCACCTCTCATGCCATCACACACGGTGCTGCAGCACTCACGGAACAACAGCCCTGGAACGTGAGGCAGTAAGCAGTAACCATTGCTGTTCCGCACCCCTATCAACCCCGGCGTGACTACAAGCGAGAGCGGTTATTCTCAGGCACTCCTAGACGTTTTTTGTAAGAACTCAAGGGTGCATCTTACAGGAAGTATCCGCGGAAGGTGATGTAGTAAGCAGTAAGAGCATGGCGATGAAAGAGCTGTTAGCGCGTATGAGCAACAGGATGGCGGCAAGCAAGAACGGCGATGGGGCTCACAGGAAGTAGCCCTGAAACGTGAAGTAGTAGGCGGAGACCATGGCGATGAAGGTGCACACGGTGGTGAGCGTGCTCACGATGAGCACGAAGCGCAGGAACTCGCGCGACCCCCACACCGGCTCCAGCACCCGCCCCAGGAACAGCAAAGCGACCACATCCAGCACCAGCTGCACGGCGGAGGCGGGTGGAGGGGCAAGGGCGGGTGGAGGGGTGTGGGACGAGGAAGGGGTGAAGCAGTGCGCAGAGCCAACTGGTGCCGCCCACGTGGGAACAAGCTGCCTCTTAACGTTCCGCAGATTCCATCCAGCCTCTACAAATAGGACACTGCATTCGCCTTACCGTGAAGAGATGGCGCAGTGTTGGTATCACAATGACAGCACCTTGAGTTTCTCACAGTGAAGAGGTGGCGCTCACTAGAACGCCCCACTACCCACTGGGTCAAAACGTGCATGTTATAGCGCCGCGGCAGATGGCCTTCAGCCCTTGCTGTGAGCTGGCAGGCGCTGCACTCACGGTGAAGAGATGGCGCTCGAAGAGGCCCGCTGTGACGAGATTCCACGCGAAGGGGATGGTCCTGCGCGCACGGGGGGGGTGACAAACTGAGCATGACAGCGAGTGACGGAGGTGGTGACGGTTGGGGGAGGGGGGAAGCCTGCTGAGAGCTTGCACGCGTATGGCATGAGGCTGAAGGGAGGACGCAGGGAGAGGGCCAACATGTGTGAACACAGGAGGGGAATATGTCAAAGGCGTTCACGGCCGTGCAGCTTGCCTGTGCGGGCGGCACTTGCCTGTGCGGGCGGCACTTGCCTGTGCGGGCGGCACTTGCCTGCCGGGCAGCAGCGCGAAGGCGGTGTGCGCGGAGGGCAGCAGCGACACGACGTAGCCCATCAGCAGCACCGCCGCCAGCCCCTTGGACAGCCGCGTGAACCCGCTCAGCGCCGCGCGGCCCTGGGGCGGGGAAGGGTGGGGGGAGAGGGAGGGGAAGTGGGGGGAGAGATATGCGGCGCGGAACGTGGAGGGCGAGAAGAAGGGCGCACGCTGGCCGCTCTCGGGGCCAATCACTCGCTCGATGAGATGTGCGGGATGGCATGCCATGGGAGACGCGGCACGAGACGTGCTGTCTCTTCCACACTCTAATATCACATTCGCCAAAGTGAGTGCGAATGTAACGGGGGACGGTGCAGCGGAGCCAGCGGCATGGCGCTGAACAGGGCCGAGCAGCGGAAGCATGGCGACAACATGAGAGGTCAGCCCGCACAGCGATGAATCGTACCACAGCCTGCGAAAACTGCAGGGCGGGCGAAGAGTGAGCTTACGAGCAGCGCTTGGGGGTTGGGTGCCTGCGCGCTCATTGTGACCCGCAGATGACGCGATGCCGCGATAACACGATAGCACGATGCGACGACGAGGGCACGTGCCACGTGAAAGATCTCGCAGTAGTCGTACTCGCGGAAATGCAGGCGAAGTCGCAAACGACGTCCTATTTTCAGCCAGAAACTACGCAAGATCTCAGTGCCTTCAAATATTCGACGCACTCTTGTGGAGATAAATCTGTTCGTTATGCGAGCAGAGGGAGTACATGCATAATTGGGGTTAGGTATGCTATATCTCAATGGTGCTGATACGAGCCTTGATACTGTCTATATAAATGGAGGGACATTCGAGGGGTGAGAGCTGTTATTAGGAGCTGCCGTATCCATCTGGTCACTATATATGGTTATGTAGATAACGAAAACCATGGAAACTTAGAGCATAACTAACTATATTTACACATATTTTTTTGCACAGCGGATAGTCTGGTTAAAGTTTTTTGTAACAATAGGAGCGTCGTGAGGCATCGCATATTGAATATGCTTGAACCAGAGTCGGATTCTTCTCCACTCCACCATCCTTCACTCCACCCAGCCACCATCCATCACGCCACCCATTTCATCCATTCACCACCGTGCCATCCCTCGCTGCTCTCCCACCGTCCTCCGCTATGCGCGCTCTCCTGCTTCTCCGCGGCCTCGCAGAGCGTCGCTGCGCGGCGGACAGGCTGCGCGTGCTCGCCACGCACCTCGCCCCCGCGCCGCTCACCTCGCCCCTCGCCGGCCGCGCCGACGACGTCGATCGCGCGGACGCCGCCGGACGGGCGGGCGCGTCGTCGTCGCGGCGGTATCTGGTGACGGCTGGCGCGGCCGCCCTCGCCGCTTCCGCTGCGGCCTCGTCGTTCGCCGCTGCTGGCGCGGAGGTAAGGCGAGGGGCGCAGCAGAACGGTTAGGTGAGGGCATGGAGGCGCGCAGCGGGCGACCGGCGATGAGATCAGGATTTGATCTCCCTCTTTCCCTGCCTGCCTGCCTGCCTGCCTGCCTGCCTGCCGACCTGCCTGCCTGCCTGCCTGCCTGCCCGCCTGCCTGCCTGCCTGCCTGCCCGCCTGCCCGCGTGCCCGCCTGCCTGCTTCTAGGATGTGTGGGTTGAGCGACGGATACAGCTGCAACCCCGTCCCGCCGCTCTCATCCCCCATCCCGCCCCTCTCACCCCCCATCCCGCCCCTCTCACCCCCCATCCCGCCCCTATCGCCCTGCCAGGGTTCGTCGGGCGCGGCGCACTGCGAGGCGGCGCCCAAGGCAGGCAAGTTATTTCCGCCCTGCCACCCGCCTCCGCCCTGCCACCCGCCTCCGCCCTGCCACCCCCGCCTCCGCTGCTTGTGTCGTGTTCAAGCTGACTAAGTACATGCTTCTAGGATCATGCACCATCGCCAATTGCCAACTCGGATCCCACGTGCCTGTCGGAGCGTCTCCCTTCCCTCTCTCCTCTCTGCAGCACTGAACCCACAGCAGTTCGTGGCGTTCAGGCTGCAGCAGGTGCAGGACATCAGCCACAACACCAAGATCTTCCGGTGCGTCTCTTCATGTCTGCCTCTGTGCTGCGGATGTACACAACTCACGCATGGCAAGGACGTTCTCTCTCACTGCTCCACCTCTCCTTTGTTCTTCTGCCCCTCCATTGCCTTGCGAACCCCCCCTTTATCACACATTCCCTCTCTGCTCTTCTCGCATATACCCTCTTTGGCCTTCCCTCCCTCCTTGCTCCGCCCTCCTCGTGCCACTCCCTCCCTGCCCCACCAGCTTTGCCCTGGACCCCGACACACGCCTCGGCCTCACAGTGGCGTCATGCCTCGTTACAAGGTCACATGCATGCATGCTGCTTGCCTCGTTACAAGGTCACATGCATGCATGCTGCTTGCCTCGTTACAAGGTCACATGCATGCACGCTGCTTGCCTCGTTACAAGGTCACATGCATGCATGCTGCTTGCCCGTTACAAAGTCACATGCATGCATGCTGCTTGCCTCGTTACAAGTGACATGCATGCATGCTGCTTGCCTCGTTACAAGGTCACATGCATGCATGCTGCTTGCCTCGTTACAAGGTCACATGCATGCATGCTGCTTGCCCGTTACAATGTCACATGCATGCATGCTGCCTGCCTCGTTACTAGGTGACATGCATGCATGCTGCTTGCTTCGTTACAAGGTCACATGCATGCATGCTGCTTGCCTCGTTACAAGGTCACATGCATGCATGCTGCTTGCCTCGTTACAAGGTCACATGCATGCATGCTGCTTGCCTCGTTACAAGGTGACATGCATGCATGCTGCTTGCCTCGTTACAAGGTGACATGCATGCATGCTGCTTGCCTTGTTACAAGGTCACATGCATGCATGCTGCTTGCCTCGTTACAAGGTCACATGCATGCATGCTGCTTGCCTCGTTACAAGGTCACATGCATGCATGCTGCTTGCCTCGTTACAAGGTGACATGCATGCATGCTGCTTGCCTCGTTACAAGGTCACATGCATGCATGCTGCTTGCCTCGTTACAAGGTCACATGCATGCATGCTGCTTGCCTCGTTACAAGGTGACATGCATGCATGCTGCTTGCCTTGTTACGAGTTGGCATGCACACATGCTGCATGCCTTGTTACGAGGTGACTTGATGAACAGAGTTCAAGTAGATTCGAGTAAGCTGCGTTTGTACTCCTCCTGGCGCTGCTGTGTCTCCACCAAGTGAATATCTGCCTGTCATGCTCGTGCGGCATACTCACTCACTGCAATTCTTCTTTTGCAGGGCGCCCATCGGACCACCTGGGGACGACGGGAAGCCCAAAGCAGTCATTCGACCGTGAGACACCCTCCACTCCCCTCCACTCCCCTTCACTCCCCTCCACTCCCCTCCACTCCCCTCCACTCCCCTTCACTCCCCTCCACTCCTCTCCACTCCCCTCCGCTCCCCTCCGCTCCCCTCCGCTCCCCTCCACTCCCCTCCACTCCCCTCCACTCCCCTCCACTCCAATTCACTCCCCTCCACTCCCTTCCACTCCCCTCCACTCCCCTCCACTCCCCTCCACTCCCCTCCACTCCCTTCCTCTCCCTCACTCAACTACGCTCCTCTGCAATGGGTGGGCATCAAGTCCGTGCGCACAGAGGTGCAGAGAGCGCCATGGGCAGCACTTTTCATAACGCCCCTTGCTCATGCATGCAAATGCATGCGTTCGCCTGGGCAGGTTCACAGGTCACTCGCTCGCTGTTGAGAGCATGGCATCCACTCATCGCTGTTGAGAGCATGGCATCCACTCGTCGCTGTTGAGAGCATGGCATCCACTCATCGCTGTTGAGAGCATGGCATCCACTCATCGCTGTTGAGAGCATGGCATCCACTCATCGCTGTTGAGAGCATGGCATCCACTCATCGCTGTTGAGAGCATGGCATCCACTCGCTCGCTGTTGAGAGCATGGCATCCACTCATCGCTGTTGAGAGCATGGCATCCACTCATCGCTGTTGAGAGCATGGCATCCACTCATCGCTGTTGAGAGCATGGCATCCACTCATCGCTGTTGAGAGCATGGCATCCACTCATCGCTGTTGAGAGCATGGCATCCACTCATCGCTGTTGAGAGCATGGCATCCACTCATCGCTGTTGAGAGCATGGCATCCACTCATCGCTGTTGAGAGCATGGCATCCACTCATCGCTGTTGAGAGCATGGCATCCACTCGCTCGCTGTTGAGAGCATGGCATCCACTCATCGCTGTTGAGAGCATGGCATCCACTCATCACGCCGCCACCTATTCTCACCTCGTCCTTATCTTCTCTTTTCTTGTTTCTTCGGTCACCATTCCTCCATTCCTTCATGCCACCATGCCGCCATACCATGATGCCATGATGCCATCGCATGCATGCCTGGCGGTGCTGCGGTGCCATCATCAGGTACACGCCCATCACTCCGCCAGATGTCACGGGGCACTTCGACCTGCTAGTCAAGGTGACCTGCTAGTCAAGGTGACCTGCTAGTCAAGGCGACTTGCTAGTCAAGGTGACCTGCTAGTCAAGGTGACCTGTTAGTCAAGGTGACCTGCTAGTCAAGGTGACCTGCTAGTCAAGGTGACCTGCTAGTCAAGGTGACCTGTTAGTCAAGGTGACCTGTTAGTCAAGGTGACCTGCTAGTCAAGGTGACCTGTTAGTCAAGGTGACCTGCTAGTCAAGGTGACCTGCTAGTCAAGGTGACCTGTTAGTCAAGGTGACCTGCTAGTCAAGGTGACCTGCTAGTCAAGGTGACCTGCTAGTCAAGGTGACCTGCTAGTCAAGGTGACCTGCTAGTCAAGGTGACCTGCTAGTCAAGGTGACCTGCTAGTCAAGGTGACCTGTTAGTCAAGGTGACCTGCTAGTCAAGGTGACCTGCTAGTCAAGGTGACCTGCTAGTCAAGGTGACCTGTTAGTCAAGGTGACCTGTTAGTCAAGGTGACCTGCTAGTCAAGGTGACCTGTTAGTCAAGGTGACCTGCTAGTCAAGGTGACCTGCTAGTCAAGGTGACCTGCTAGTCAAGGTGACCTGCTAGTCAAGGTGACCTGCTAGTCAAGGTGACCTGCTAGTCAAGGTGACCTGCTAGTCAAGGTGACCTGCTAGTCAAGGTGACCTGCTAGTCAAGGTGACCTGTTAGTCAAGGTGACCTGCTAGTCAAGGTGACCTGCTAGTCAAGGTGACCTGCTAGTCAAGGTGACCTGTTAGTCAAGGTGACCTGTTAGTCAAGGTGACCTGCTAGTCAAGGTGACCTGTTAGTCAAGGTGACCTGCTAGTCAAGGTGACCTGCTAGTCAAGGTGACCTGCTAGTCAAGGTGACTGCACGGGCTGACCCAGTGAGCATGCCGCCTTGTAGCTTGTCCCTGTGGGCGGCCTTGCGAGCTACGGGTTGACTTCATCGCCCAAAGCTGTAGACAAGCCGTCTGCAGGACGTGCCACACCAGCTCGAACTGGCCCAGCACACTCTGGCACGCCCAGCACACTCTGGCACGCCCAGCACACTCTGGCACGCCCAGCAGATGGTCATTCCGTCCTTTCGAGGCGCCAAGTTGGTGATTCAAGTTCTGCTCATACTTGGGGGGTGGTGTACAAGGGAGTATGTAGGTGTGTGTGTGTGTGTGTGTGTGTGTGTGTGTGTGTGTGTGTGTGTGTGGGCGCGTGCATGCGTGCGTGTGTGCGTGCGTGCGTGCGTGCGTGTGCGTGTGGCAAGCCTGTGCATGTGTCCTGCCTCCCATTCAAGCCTGTGCATGTGTCCTGCCTCCCATTCAAGCCTGTGCATGTGTCCTGCCTCCCATTCAAGCCTGTGCATGTGTCCTGCCTCCCATTCAAGCCTGTGCATGTGTCCTGCCTCCCATTCAAGCCTGTGCATGTGTCCTGCCTCCCATTCAGTACCATCCGTTCTTTCTTCCCCATGGTCGCCTCTCTCCCTCCATGCATCCAGGTGTACCCCAACGGCAAGATGAGTCAGCACATGTTCTCCCTCAAGCCAGGCGACGTGCTTGAAATGAAGGGGTGAGAGCGCATGTGCTTGAAATGAAGGGGTGAGAGCGCATGTGCTTGAAATGAAGGGGTGAGAGCGCATGTGCTTGAAATGAAGGGGTGAGAGCGCATGTGCTTGAAATGAAGGGGTGAGAGCGCATGTGCTTTGAATGAAGGGGTGAGAGTGCTGTGCACATTAGCTTGAAAAGGACGGGGTGCGGTCACATGTGCTGCAACTCACCGTAAAGACAGTGGTGCTGGAATGAAGGGATATGAAAAGGTGCTTCAGGATTGAAGGGAGAGACCACGTTGTTGTGGCGATGGGACAGCACGTTGCTCTCTTCTCTCTGGGTGGCGATGGGACAGCACGTTGCTCTCTTCTCTCTGGGTGGCGATGGGACAGCACGTTGCTCTCTTCTCTCTGGGTGGCGATGGGAAAGCACGTTGCTCTCTTCTCTCTGGGTGGCGATGGGACAGCACGTTGCTCTCTTCTCTCTGGGTGGCGATGGGACAGCACGTTGCTCTCTTCTCTCTGGGTGGCGATGGGACAGCACGTTGCTCTCTTCTCTCTGGGTGGCGATGGGACAGCACATTGCTCTCTTCTCTCTGGGTGGCGATGGGACAGCACGTTGCTCTCTTCTCTCTGGGTGGCGATGGGACAGCACGTTGCTCTCTTCTCTCTGGGTGGCGATGGGACAGCACGTTGCTCTCTTCTCTCTGTGTGCCTCTTCGGGCATTCATGTGTGTGCCTCTTCGGGCATTCATGTGTGTGCCTCTTCGGGCATTCATGTGTGTGCCTCTTCGGGCATTCATGTGTGTGCCTCTTCGTGCATTCATGTGTGTGCCTCTTCGTGCATTCATGTGTGTGCCTCTTCGGGCATTCATTTGTGTGCCTCTTCGTGCATTCATGTGTGTGCCTCTTCGTGCATTCATGTGTGTGCCTCTTCGTGCATTCATGTGTGTGCCTCTTCGTGCATTCATGTGTGTGCCTCTTCGGGCATTCATGTGTGTGCCTCTTCGGGCATTCATGTGTGTGCCTCTTCGGGCATTCATGTGTGTGCCTCTTCGTGCATTCATGTGTGTGCCTCTTCGGGCATTCATGTGTGTGCCTCTTCGGGCATTCATGTGTGTGCCTCTTCGTGCATTCATGTGTGTGCCTCTTCGTGCATTCATGTGTGTGCCTCTTCGTGCATTCATGTGTGTGCCTCTTCGGGCATTCATGTGTGTGCCTCTTCGGGCATTCATGTGTGTGCCTCTTCGGGCATTCATGTGTGTGCCTCTTCGTGCATTCATGTGTGTGCCTCTTCGTGCATTCATGTGTGTGCCTCTTCGTGCATTCATGTGTGTGCCTCTTCGGGCATTCATGTGTGTGCCTCTTCGGGCATTCATGTGTGTGCCTCTTCGTGCATTCATGTGTGTGCCTCTTCGTGCATTCATGTGTGTGCCTCTTCGTGCATTCATGTGTGTGCCTCTTCGGGCATTCATGTGTGTGCCTCTTCGGGCATTCATGTGTGTGCCTCTTCGGGCATTCATGTGTGTGCCTCTTCGTGCATTCATGTGTGTGCCTCTTCGGGCATTCATGTGTGTGCCTCTTCGGGCATTCATGTGTGTGCCTCTTCGGGCATTCATGTGTGTGCCTCTTCGGGCATTCATGTGTGTGCCTCTTCGTGCATTCATGTGTGTGCCTCTTCGGGCATTCATGTGTGTGCCTCTTCGGGCATTCATGTGTGTGCCTCTTCGTGCATTCATGTGTGTGCCTCTTCGTGCATTCATGTGTGTGCCTCTTCGTGCATTCATGTGTGTGCCTCTTCGGGCATTCATGTGTGTGCCTCTTCGGGCATTCATGTGTGTGCCTCTTCGGGCATTCATGTGTGTGCCTCTTCGTGCATTCATGTGTGTGCCTCTTCGTGCATTCATGTGTGTGCCTCTTCGTGCATTCATGTGTGTGCCTCTTCGGGCATTCATGTGTGTGCCTCTTCGGGCATTCATGTGTGTGCCTCTTCGTGCATTCATGTGTGTGCCTCTTCGTGCATTCATGTGTGTGCCTCTTCGTGCATTCATGTGTGTGCCTCTTCGGGCATTCATGTGTGTGCCTCTTCGGGCATTCATGTGTGTGCCTCTTCGGGCATTCATGTGTGTGCCTCTTCGTGCATTCATGTGTGTGCCTCTTCGGGCATTCATGTGTGTGCCTCTTCGGGCATTCATGTGTGTGCCTCTTCGGGCATTCATGTGTGTGCCTCTTCGGGCATTCATGTGTGTGCCTCTTCGGGCATTCATGTGTGTGCCTCTTCGTGCATTCATGTGTGTGCCTCTTCGTGCATTCATGTGTGTGCCTCTTCGTGCATTCATGTGTGTGCCTCTTCGGGCATTCATGTGTGTGCCTCTTCGGGCATTCATGTGTGTGCCTCTTCGTGCATTCATGTGTGTGCCTCTTCGTGCATTCATGTGTGTGCCTCTTCGGGCATTCATGTGTGTGCGTCTTCGGGCATTCATGTGTGTGCCTCTTCGGGCATTCATGTGTGTGCCTCTTCGGGCATTCATGTGTGTGCCTCTTCGTGCATTCATGTGTGTGCCTCTTCGGGCATTCATGTGTGTGCCTCTTCGGGCATTCATGTGTGTGCCTCTTCGTGCATTCATGTGTGTGCCTCTTCGTGCATTCATGTGTGTGCCTCTTCGGGCATTCATGTGTGTGCCTCTTCGGGCATTCATGTGTGTGCCTCTTCGTGCATTCATGTGTGTGCCTCTTCGTGCATTCATGTGTGTGCCTCTTCGGGCATTCATGTGTGTGCCTCTTCGTGCATTCATGTGTGTGCCTCTTCGTGCATTCATGTGTGTGCCTCTTCGTGCATTCATGTGTGTGCCTCTTCGGGCATTCATGTGTGTGCCTCTTCGGGCATTCATGTGTGTGCCTCTTCGTGCATTCATGTGTGTGCCTCTTCGTGCATTCATGTGTGTGCCTCTTCGTGCATTCATGTGTGTGCCTCTTCGGGCATTCATGTGTGTGCCTCTTCGGGCATTCATGTGTGTGCCTCTTCGGGCATTCATGTGTGTGCCTCTTCGTGCATTCATGTGTGTGCCTCTTCGGGCATTCATGTGTGTGCCTCTTCGGGCATTCATGTGTGTGCCTCTTCGGGCATTCATGTGTGTGCCTCTTCGGGCATTCATGTGTGTGCCTCTTCGTGCATTCATGTGTGTGCCTCTTCGGGCATTCATGTGTGTGCCTCTTCGGGCATTCATGTGTGTGCCTCTTCGTGCATTCATGTGTGTGCCTCTTCGTGCATTCATGTGTGTGCCTCTTCGGGCATTCATGTGTGTGCCTCTTCGGGCATTCATGTGTGTGCCTCTTCGGGCATTCATGTGTGTGCCTCTTCGTGCATTCATGTGTGTGCCTCTTCGTGCATTCATGTGTGTGCCTCTTCGTGCATTCATGTGTGTGCCTCTTCGGGCATTCATGTGTGTGCCTCTTCGGGCATTCATGTGTGTGCCTCTTCGGGCATTCATGTGTGTGCCTCTTCGTGCATTCATGTGTGTGCCTCTTCGTGCATTCATGTGTGTGCCTCTTCGTGCATTCATGTGTGTGCCTCTTCGGGCATTCATGTGTGTGCCTCTTCGGGCATTCATGTGTGTGCCTCTTCGTGCATTCATGTGTGTGCCTCTTCGTGCATTCATGTGTGTGCCTCTTCGTGCATTCATGTGTGTGCCTCTTCGGGCATTCATGTGTGTGCCTCTTCGGGCATTCATGTGTGTGCCTCTTCGGGCATTCATGTGTGTGCCTCTTCGTGCATTCATGTGTGTGCCTCTTCGGGCATTCATGTGTGTGCCTCTTCGGGCATTCATGTGTGTGCCTCTTCGGGCATTCATGTGTGTGCCTCTTCGGGCATTCATGTGTGTGCCTCTTCGGGCATTCATGTGTGTGCCTCTTCGTGCATTCATGTGTGTGCCTCTTCGTGCATTCATGTGTGTGCCTCTTCGTGCATTCATGTGTGTGCCTCTTCGGGCATTCATGTGTGTGCCTCTTCGGGCATTCATGTGTGTGCCTCTTCGTGCATTCATGTGTGTGCCTCTTCGTGCATTCATGTGTGTGCCTCTTCGGGCATTCATGTGTGTGCGTCTTCGGGCATTCATGTGTGTGCCTCTTCGGGCATTCATGTGTGTGCCTCTTCGGGCATTCATGTGTGTGCCTCTTCGTGCATTCATGTGTGTGCCTCTTCGGGCATTCATGTGTGTGCCTCTTCGGGCATTCATGTGTGTGCCTCTTCGTGCATTCATGTGTGTGCCTCTTCGTGCATTCATGTGTGTGCCTCTTCGGGCATTCATGTGTGTGCCTCTTCGGGCATTCATGTGTGTGCCTCTTCGTGCATTCATGTGTGTGCCTCTTCGTGCATTCATGTGTGTGCCTCTTCGGGCATTCATGTGTGTGCCTCTTCGTGCATTCATGTGTGTGCCTCTTCGTGCATTCATGTGTGTGCCTCTTCGTGCATTCATGTGTGTGCCTCTTCGGGCATTCATGTGTGTGCCTCTTCGGGCATTCATGTGTGTGCCTCTTCGTGCATTCATGTGTGTGCCTCTTCGTGCATTCATGTGTGTGCCTCTTCGTGCATTCATGTGTGTGCCTCTTCGGGCATTCATGTGTGTGCCTCTTCGGGCATTCATGTGTGTGCCTCTTCGGGCATTCATGTGTGTGCCTCTTCGTGCATTCATGTGTGTGCCTCTTCGGGCATTCATGTGTGTGCCTCTTCGGGCATTCATGTGTGTGCCTCTTCGGGCATTCATGTGTGTGCCTCTTCGGGCATTCATGTGTGTGCCTCTTCGTGCATTCATGTGTGTGCCTCTTCGGGCATTCATGTGTGTGCCTCTTCGGGCATTCATGTGTGTGCCTCTTCGTGCATTCATGTGTGTGCCTCTTCGTGCATTCATGTGTGTGCCTCTTCGTGCATTCATGTGTGTGCCTCTTCGGGCATTCATGTGTGTGCCTCTTCGGGCATTCATGTGTGTGCCTCTTCGGGCATTCATGTGTGTGCCTCTTCGTGCATTCATGTGTGTGCCTCTTCGTGCATTCATGTGTGTGCCTCTTCGTGCATTCATGTGTGTGCCTCTTCGGGCATTCATGTGTGTGCCTCTTCGGGCATTCATGTGTGTGCCTCTTCGTGCATTCATGTGTGTGCCTCTTCGTGCATTCATGTGTGTGCCTCTTCGTGCATTCATGTGTGTGCCTCTTCGGGCATTCATGTGTGTGCCTCTTCGGGCATTCATGTGTGTGCCTCTTCGGGCATTCATGTGTGTGCCTCTTCGTGCATTCATGTGTGTGCCTCTTCGGGCATTCATGTGTGTGCCTCTTCGGGCATTCATGTGTGTGCCTCTTCGGGCATTCATGTGTGTGCCTCTTCGGGCATTCATGTGTGTGCCTCTTCGGGCATTCATGTGTGTGCCTCTTCGTGCATTCATGTGTGTGCCTCTTCGTGCATTCATGTGTGTGCCTCTTCGTGCATTCATGTGTGTGCCTCTTCGGGCATTCATGTGTGTGCCTCTTCGGGCATTCATGTGTGTGCCTCTTCGTGCATTCATGTGTGTGCCTCTTCGTGCATTCATGTGTGTGCCTCTTCGTGCATTCATGTGTGTGCGTCTTCGGGCATTCATGTGTGTGCCTCTTCGGGCATTCATGTGTGTGCCTCTTCGGGCATTCATGTGTGTGCCTCTTCGTGCATTCATGTGTGTGCCTCTTCGGGCATTCATGTGTGTGCCTCTTCGGGCATTCATGTGTGTGCCTCTTCGTGCATTCATGTGTGTGCCTCTTCGTGCATTCATGTGTGTGCCTCTTCGGGCATTCATGTGTGTGCCTCTTCGGGCATTCATGTGTGTGCCTCTTCGTGCATTCATGTGTGTGCCTCTTCGTGCATTCATGTGTGTGCCTCTTCGTGCATTCATGTGTGTGCCTCTTCGGGCATTCATGTGTGTGCCTCTTCGGGCATTCATGTGTGTGCCTCTTCGGGCATTCATGTGTGTGCCTCTTCGTGCATTCATGTGTGTGCCTCTTCGTGCATTCATGTGTGTGCCTCTTCGTGCATTCATGTGTGTGCCTCTTCGGGCATTCATGTGTGTGCCTCTTCGGGCATTCATGTGTGTGCCTCTTCGTGCATTCATGTGTGTGCCTCTTCGTGCATTCATGTGTGTGCCTCTTCGTGCATTCATGTGTGTGCCTCTTCGGGCATTCATGTGTGTGCCTCTTCGGGCATTCATGTGTGTGCCTCTTCGGGCATTCATGTGTGTGCCTCTTCGTGCATTCATGTGTGTGCCTCTTCGGGCATTCATGTGTGTGCCTCTTCGGGCATTCATGTGTGTGCCTCTTCGGGCATTCATGTGTGTGCCTCTTCGGGCATTCATGTGTGTGCCTCTTCGGGCATTCATGTGTGTGCCTCTTCGTGCATTCATGTGTGTGCCTCTTCGTGCATTCATGTGTGTGCCTCTTCGTGCATTCATGTGTGTGCCTCTTCGGGCATTCATGTGTGTGCCTCTTCGGGCATTCATGTGTGTGCCTCTTCGTGCATTCATGTGTGTGCCTCTTCGTGCATTCATGTGTGTGCCTCTTCGGGCATTCATGTGTGTGCGTCTTCGGGCATTCATGTGTGTGCCTCTTCGGGCATTCATGTGTGTGCCTCTTCGGGCATTCATGTGTGTGCCTCTTCGTGCATTCATGTGTGTGCCTCTTCGGGCATTCATGTGTGTGCCTCTTCGGGCATTCATGTGTGTGCCTCTTCGTGCATTCATGTGTGTGCCTCTTCGTGCATTCATGTGTGTGCCTCTTCGGGCATTCATGTGTGTGCCTCTTCGGGCATTCATGTGTGTGCCTCTTCGGGCATTCATGTGTGTGCCTCTTCGTGCATTCATGTGTGTGCCTCTTCGGGCATTCATGTGTGTGCCTCTTCGTGCATTCATGTGTGTGCCTCTTCGTGCATTCATGTGTGTGCCTCTTCGTGCATTCATGTGTGTGCCTCTTCGTGCATTCATGTGTGTGCCTCTTCGGGCATTCATGTGTGTGCCTCTTCGTGCATTCATGTGTGTGCCTCTTCGGGCATTCATGTGTGTGCCTCTTCGGGCATTCATGTGTGTGCCTCTTCGTGCATTCATGTGTGTGCCTCTTCGGGCATTCATGTGTGTGCCTCTTCGTGCATTCATGTGTGTGGCTCTTCTTGCATTCATGTGTGTGCCTCTTCGTGCAGCCCCATTCCGAAGCTGCCCTACCAGCCCTACATGAAGCGCAGCATTGGCATGGTGGGATGGGGGCATGGTTGGTTGGGGGCATGGTGGGATGGGATGATTAAAAAGCACATGCACGGCCTTTCAATACACAGCAAGTTCGTTCTTGAGCACAAGACAAACGTTGAGATGCTTATCCAGTCTCCTGTTTCTCCCTCGCCCGCGCCCCCATTCCCATTCCCACCCCAATGTCCTGCGCCCACCATTCCGTCCACATGCCTCCCGCCCAGTTGAAATTCTTTGGGTTCGAAACGCAGCAAGTCTGCTAAGAGTGACGATCTATATGTCTTGCCTCCTGCCCTCCTCGCTTCTCTCCACATTCCCCCTCATCTTGCCTCATGCCGTCCTCCCTACTGTCGATGTCTCCGTATCCCCTCTCCCTCCTCACTCGCTCCCTCCCTCCGTCCCTCCCTCCCTCCCTCCCTCCCTCCCTCACTCCCTCCCTCACTCCCTCCCTCCCTCCCTCCCTCCCTCCCTCCCTCCCTCCCTCCCTCCCTCCCTCCCTCCCTCCCTCCCTCCCTCCCTCCCTCCCTCCCTCCCTCCCTCCCTCCCTCTCTCCCGCATGGCAGGTGGCGGGGGGGACGGGCATAACGCCCATGCTGCAGGTCATCGACGCCATCCTCTCCAACCCCAACGACCACACGCAGGTACGCCGAATGTGGTGTACAGTCGACTTGGGCATGTACGTTACTGTGCCCGTGCAACTGTGTTGCGCTGCCCACCCTCCCTTTGTGCTACCCCCCAACAAGCATCGTGGTGATTGGTCACTTGACTTGAGCCACGCTGCTTGCTCCCACCTGTGGTTGGGCCTACCAGCTGTGGTTGGGCCTACCAGCTGTGGTTGGGCCTACCAGCTGTGGTTGGGCCTACCAGCTGTGGTTGGGCCTACCAGCTGTGGTTGGGCCTACCAGCTGTGGTTGGGCCTACCAGCTGTGGTTGGGCCTACCAGCTGTGGTTGGGCCGACCAGCTGTGGTTGGGCCGACCAGCTTTGGTTGGGCCGACCAGGTACATTGTGGCTTCTCCTGTGTGACGCTCCACCACCACCTTGGCCCTCAACCACTTCCCATCCACCTTTCTCTTGCATCCTATGTATTCCCCTTTCTCCTCAATGCAATCAACCTCTTGATTCCCAGCACCGTGCCTCCCGCGCCGCGCCGCGCCGTGCCTCCCGTGCCGTGCCTGCCATGCCATGTGTCCCCTGGCAGGTGGCGCTGGTGTTCGCCAACACGTCACCGGCGGACATCCTTCTCGCCGATCAGCTGCGCGCCCTCGCTGCCTCGCACCCCAACTTCAAGGCATGCCGCCCCCACTCCCCACCCCCGCTACTCCCCACCCCCGCTACTCCCCACCCCCACTACTCCCCACCCCCGCTACTCCCCACCCCCGCTACTCCCCACCCCCGCTACTCCCCACCCCCGTTACTCCCCACCCCCGCTACTCCCCACCCCCGCTACTCCCCACCCCAGCTACTCCCCACCCCCGCTACTCCCCACCCCCGCTACTACCCACCCCCGCTACTCCCCACCCCCGCTACTCCCCACCCCCGCTACTCCCCACCCCCGCTACTCCCCACCCCCGCTACTCCCCACCCCCGCTACTCCCCACCCCCGCTACTCCCCACCCCCACTACTCCCCACCCCCGCTACTCCCCACCCCCGCTACTCCCCACCCCCGTTACTCCCCACCCCCGCTACTCCCCACCCCAGCTACTCCCCACCCCCGCTACTCCCCACCCCCGCTACTACCCACCCCCGCTACTCCCCACCCCCGCTACTCCCCACCCCCGCTACTCCCCACCCCCGCTACTCCCCACCCCCGCTACTCCCCACCCCCGCTACTCCCCACCCCCGCTACTCCCCACCCCCGCTACTCCCCACCCCCGCTACTCCCCACCCCCGCTACTCCCCACCCCCGCTACTCCCCACCCCCGCTACTCCCCACCCCCGCTACTCCCCACCCCCGCTACTCCCCACCCCCGCTACTCCCCACCCCCGCTACTCCCCACCCCCGCTACTCCCCACCCCCGCTACTCCCCACCCCCGCTACTCCCCACCCCCGCTACTCCCCACCCCCGCTACTCCCCACCCCCGCTACTCCCCACCCCCGCTACTCCCCACCCCCGCTACTCCCCACCCCCGCTACTCCCCACCCCCGCTACTCCCCACCCCCGCTACTCCCCACCCCCGCTACTCCCCACCCCCGCTACTCCCCACCCCCGCTACTCCCCACCCCCGCTACTCCCCACCCCCGCTACTCCCCACCCCCGCTACTCCCCACCCCCGCTACTCCCCACCCCCGCTACTCCCCACCCCCGCTACTCCCCACCCCCGCTACTCCCCACCCCCGCTACTCCCCACCCCCGCTACTCCCCACCCCCGCTACTCCCCACCCCCGCTACTCCCCACCCCCGCTACTCCCCACCCCCGCTACTCCCCACCCCCGCTACTCCCCACCCCCGCTACTCCCCACCCCCGCTACTCCCCACCCCCGCTACTCCCCACCCCCGCTACTCCCCACCCCCGCTACTCCCCACCCCCGCTACTCCCCACCCCCGCTACTCCCCACCCCCGCTACTCCCCACCCCCGCTACTCCCCACCCCCGCTACTCCCCACCCCCGCTACTCCCCACCCCCGCTACTCCCCACCCCCGCTACTCCCCACCCCCGCTCCCCACCCCCGCTACTCCCCACCCCCGCTACTCCCCACCCCCGCTACTCCCCACCCCCGCTACTCCCCACCCCCGCTACTCCCCACCCCCGCTACTCCCCACCCCCGCTACTCCCCACCCCCGCTACTCCCCACCCCCGCTACTCCCCACCCCCGCTACTCCCCACCCCCGCTACTCCCCACCCCCGCTACTCCCCACCCCAGCTACTCCCCACCCCCGCTACTCCCCACCCCCGCTACTACCCACCCCCGCTACTCCCCACCCCCGCTACTCCCCACCCCCGCTACTCCCCACCCCCGCTACTCCCCACCCCCGCTACTCCCCACCCCCGCTACTCCCCACCCCCGCTACTCCCCACCCCCGCTACTCCCCACCCCCGCTACTCCCAACCCCCGCTACTCCCCACCCCCGCTACTCCCCACCCCCGCTACTCCCCACCCCCGCTACTCCCCACCCCCGCTACTCCCCACCCCAGCTACTCCCCACCCCCGCTACTCCCCACCCCCGCTACTCCCCACCCCCGCTACTCCCCACCCCCGCTACTCCCCACCCCTGCTACTCCCCACCCCCGCTACTACCCACCCCCGCTACTCCCCACCCCCGCTACTCCTCGCCCGCACGTCGCTCTATGCTCACTCACTCCACCCATCTTCCCCTCCTCCCTCACTCACTCGCATGCTCTCTCTCTCTCTCTTCTTCGCACACCCTCCTCCCTCTCCCCTCGTCACCCCTCATCACCATCTCGCAATGCTGTGCTGCGCCTCCACCCATGCTGTGCTGCGCCTCCACCCATGCTGTGCTGCGCCTCCACCCATGCACACCACATCGCACTCCACACGCCTCCCACGTTGTCCCCGCATTCCTCCACATCCGCCACACCCCGCCACGCGGAGCAGGTGTACTTGATGGTGGACCGCGCGGAGGCGGGGGCGGCATGGAAGGGCGGGGAGGGGTTCATCACGGCGGACGTGCTGCGCAAGGCGCTGCCACCACCATCCCCCGACTCCCTCGTGCTCGTGAGGGCCCTGCTGCATGCCATGGCGTGGCGTGGCGTGGCATAGCGATGGATAAGATGACATGGCATAGCATGGCTTTGAATCTCATCATTCACATTGAATAACATCATATTAAATTACATCACACATCACATCACATGGCATCATATCATATCACATGGCATCACATCACATCACATGTCATCATATCATATCACTGGCAGCACATCACCTTGTCCCCCCTGGGTGGCTGGGTTCGCAGCATGGCCTCTGTGGCCCCTGGCTGCCCTGCCTCTCACTCACCCCGTGTGGCTGCACCTCACTCACCCCGTGTGTGCAGGTGTGTGGGCCGCCCGGCATGATGCGCCACGTGTCAGGCGACAAGGCACCCGACAAGTCGCAGGGGGAGGTGAGTGGCAGGGGGAGGTGAGTGGCAGGGGTGAGTGGCAGGGGGAGGTGAGTGGCAGGGGGAGGTGAGTGGCAGGGGGAGGTGAGTGGCAGGGGGAGGTGAGTGGCAGGGGTGAGTGGCAGGGGTGAGTGGCAGGGGGAGGTGAGTGGCAGGGGGAGGTGAGTGGGGGACAGGCAGGGGGGCAGCTGACACAGAAACTGTTACTCATGAGGGTGCCCCCAGAGCAGTGCAATGCTGTGGTACAGTAGTCCCCCACATATAGGCGCACATCCGTTAACTGGTTGTTTAGCGCATGCGCTTATGCTTTGACTAATGAGCAAGTTCACCCCTTTTCAAACTCACGATTTTATTCAAAAAAACTTTGATGCACAGGTAATTCGCATTCGATACCTTACGTTCTATACCTTTCTTGTCCGTAGTGCATGTGATGTGAATGCTCGGTAAGTGCGGCTTCTTGACTGGATAAGGGGAGCAATCTGATTTTTCTCTTCTCCGCGTTTGCTCCCAATATCCCTCTCCCAATGCAGCTGGATGGCCTCTTGAAAACTCTCGGCTACACCAAGGACCAAGTTTACAAATTCTGAACCGTACCAGCGTATTTTGAATGTAACAACAGTCATGGTTGAAGGACGAGAAATAGCTACTGCATCTAGCAGGCTCAGATGATGTTGTGCCATGCGTTGTAACTATACAACAAACTGCAACCACCCCCCCACTGTATGGAGGACATTCACCAAGTACCGCATTTCAGGGCCCTCTTTTGAAAGGCTGAAGGAAACATTCCTGTGGGGACACAAGTGTCTCAATCACTTTGTGACACCCAAAAACTGTCAGATTCAACTGTGCAAGAATGAATGAACTATGAATGAGTTGGGTACAAGTACTAACCAAGTGTTCCTATCCTCGTATCAAGAGAACCTCATATCAACCTCCCACTGAAAATTCCCCTAAACCCAAAACCTCTCGCTAGTTTTACCAGGCAAAAAGTACAATCTTGATATGAGGTTCTCTTGATATGAGGATAGGAATACGCTCTTATATCCCTTGTAGGCTAACCCACTATAGCTTAGAGAGAACACAAACATCCTGACACACCCCCATAGGCTAAGTGGGAGAGAGCAAACACAACAGATGGTCACAAGACTAGTCAAGCAAGAGAACAAGCAAACAAAGCTCACAGTGGATCTCAACGATACCACACAATATGAGCACAAGCAAGCAGCCACAAGGCCAGTTCACATGCAGAGTTATAATAGCAAGGCAGTACACTGATCACAGCCTAGCAAGAGTAAACAAGCTGGTATAAAGATATATATCAGTGTACAACAAGAGCAAGTCAAGCAACCAGCAAGTGAGGCAGAGTGGGCACAAGCCCAAGAGCAGTGCAAAAACGCTGATGATCACCAGACCCAAGGGCCTTGGGGAACACATCAGCAGTGTTGGCCTGCGAGGCCACGTAGAAAAGGCGGAGCTGATGACGCTGCTGTAGCTCACGTGCAAGGAAGTAGCGAAGAGCAATATGCTTCGTTCTGTGCTCCAGTCTCTACTCGCGACACAAGGCAAGCATTGATTGTTGTCGACGTACAGTACTGGAGGAGGAACGAGGTTGTTCCCCTAGGTCAGTCAGCAGGTAGGTCAGCCAGCGTAGCTCCTGTGCAGCCATGGCCCCAGCGTAGATCTCGGCCTCACAGCTGGAACCAAGCACAGAAGAAGAACGAGTGGACCTCCACGAGACAGAACCAGAGCCAAGACTGAAGGTGTAACCCTGTGACGAACGCTGGGTCGCCTGGTCGTCGGCCCAAGAAGCGTCGGAGTGTCCTGTAAATACCACTAAACCAAGTCCTCCAAGAACGAGCCCCATGCCCAATGTACTGCACAAGTAATGCTGTACCCTCTTCGCAGCATCCCAGTGCACCTTTCGGTGTCTACCGGGAGCCACGTAGCGAGCCAGGAGGCTGAGAGGGTACGCGAGGTCAGGTCGTGTGCACGTCATCAGGTATATGAGGCAACCTACAAGCTTTGGGTACGGACCACTCGGCTCTACGGACTCGTCCGAAGGTGGAGCTGAGAGCGAGTGGCCGGTAGACAGAGGAGTGGGCTGTGGCGAGGAGAACTGGAAGCCGAAGCGCTGAAACACCTGGTGCACCATGTGTGACTAAGTCAGGGTGATGGTGCGCCGTGCTCTGTCCCATGTGATCTGTAAGCCAAGATAGCTCAGCAACTCGCCCAGGTCAGTGCACGTGTGTCTCTCCTGCAGCTCCGCCTCACTAGGGCCAACGCCTCCGAATCAGCAGTAGCAAAAACCAAGTCGTCAACGTAGACGAGAACGTAGAACGGCGGTAGGGTAGTGTCAGTGCGTAGAAACAGCGACGGGTCAATAGAGGAAGGAGCCAACCCAAGAGCCGCAAGTGTCGTCCTCAGCGTGTCGTGCCACTCGTGAGGCGCCTGGCGGAGACCGTAGACTGGCCGCCGGAGGCTCCACTGAGTACCCGTAGGAAACGACCCAGTGAAGCCAGGTGGGCGGCGCAGCCAGATCTCCTCGTAAAGGCTGCCCTGCATTAAAGTTGTGGAGAAGTCGAGAGAGTGCAGCTTGTAGCCACGCTGTGCAGCAACATGCAGCAACACCCGAAGAGTAGTCATCTTCAGGGTGGGGGAGAAGGTCAGGAAGAAGTCGACCCCCTGTCGCTGGCTGAAGCCTCGAGCAACGTAACGCGCCTTGAAGGTAGGCAGAGAACCCGGCGGCCGATTCACTCCGAAGATTCACATGCCATCGACTATGTTCGCCCCAGGAGGAGGAACCTTGTGCCTGTGGACTACCAGGAAGCCATCTCTGCGTCCATGGCTGTCTGCCACTGAGAGGAGTACTCACCCGCGATCGCCTCATCGTAAGAGCGCAGTGTAGGGATGTCAAGCGCATCCGGGTCTCCCTCAGCGCAAAGCAACATGGATGCGAAACGAGGTAAAGAGGCCGCAAGACACTCAAGCTCAAACTGCCTGTCCTCAAGGACGTCACTGCTAAGGGCAGGCTCACCCTCGACGGACGAAGGAAAGACAGACTCAGACTCAGTAACAAGACTCGCGACGTAGTCGAGACGACTCATAGCTGCAAAGTCGACTAGCTCAATGACTCGGGCAAACGCAGCAGTAGACTCAAATTCAGGGTCAGTAACGACAGTAGCGAGGAGACGAGTGACAGTAGGAATGGCAGCACGAGCAAGGTTGGACTCAGGGTCAGGAACGTGCGGAAGAGAGGAGGCGGGAGGCTCAGGCAGGACAAAACGCTGTGGAACAGAGGAAGGACGAAGTGCCATACTGTGAGTGCCTGGGACAGCAGGAGGACGAGGACGGGCGACACGACGAGCACGAACAGGTGTGGAAGCACGAGTCTCAGGCTCATGACGCTCCGTCAGGGACTCAGTCACCTCAGTGTGAGGACGAGGAGCAGGCAGCGGGGAGTCAGGCATTAGCTGTGGCTGAGACTGGTCTGTCGGTGGACAGAGGAGAGGTGGAGTGAGGTCAGTGGAAGACGGGAGACTAAGAACCTGGCGAAGGACCGAGTCAGGCGGCGGCAGGGACGACTGCGGCTGCTGGTAGAAAAGCGGTCGGCGCGGGGCAGTACCAGCAGCTCCATCTCCTCCAGCACCAGCAGCACCAGCACCTCCAGCACCAGCAGCTCCAGTAGCACCTCTAGCACCAGCAGCACTACGAGCTCTAGCAGCGCCAACACCTCTAGCACCAGCAGTACCTCCAGCACCTCCAGTGCCAGCAGCCAGCAGCACCTCCAGCACTAGCAACACCACCAGCTCCGGCAGCTCCAACACCTCTAGTACGAGCACCTCCAGGACTAGCAGCTCCAGTACCTCCAGTACCTCCAGCTCCAGCGCCTCCAGCACCGGCAGCACCAGCACCTCCAGTGCCAGCAGCTCCAGCACCTCCAACACTAGCTGGACCTCCAGGACTAGCAGCTCCAGTACCTCCAGCACCAGTAGTACCTCCAGGACTAGTAGTTCTGGCACCTCCAGCACGAACAGCACCTCCAGGACTAGCAGCTCTAGTCCCTCCAGCACCAGCAGCACCTCTAGTACCTCCAGCACCAGCAGCACCTCCAGCACCTCCAGTAGTACATCCAGTACTAGTAGCTCCAGCACCAGCAGGACCGTACCCTCCACCACTAGGACTGCCTCGCCGAACGATCCACGCACGAATCGCCTGCGGCGAGAGCGTCTTAAGTAGATCAGGCTGCGGTAGCTGTCCACCTCCAAGACCTCCAGTAGGGTACCCACAGCTCCACCGCCACTAGGACTCGCAGCACACCCAGAGTCAGCACCCCCAATCGCAGCACCCCCAGAACCAGCACCCCCAGTCGCAGCACCCCCAGTCGCAGCACCCCCAGTCGCAGCACCCCCAGAACCAGCACCCCCAGTCGCAGCGCAAACCCCCACCCGCTGTCTCAGCACCCCCAGGCTCAGCACCAACAGTCTCAGCTCCAGAGTCCACAGCACCAGGCTGCGGAGGCGGCGAAGACGGCCGAGGCGGAAAACCAGGGGGGGTCTCCAAGCGTGGAGAGCGACGAGTGGCCGCCGTGTCGTCAACGGCGGGGTCACCCCCCTCAGCTAGGCCAGAGGAGTCCAAAGAGATCTTTAAAGGCTCAACTAAGGGGGGTGGGTCTACCTGAGACACACCTGAGGGAGCAGGGCCCTGTGGGGGGAGGGGGTCTACCGTGGGGGGGGGGACTGGTTCCAGGAAGAGAGGCGCTAGGGGGACCGGGTGGGACACGTGCGGGTGTAGTCTGTAGAAACAGACAGACTCGTCAAAGGTGACGTCCTGGAAGGAGAAGACTCGACGCTCGCGCGGGTGGTGGTAGAACTGCCACGGCGGGGTGTAGGTGGGGAAGCCAAGGAAGACGCAGCGGAGAGTGCGAGAGGAGAGCTTGCTAGCTTTGGCATCGTGAACAAGGGAGAGCGCGCCCCAGGCCCGAAACACCGACACATCGCCAACCTTCCCCGTCCACTGGAGTGTGG